ATCCCTTTAAATGGGGAAGCCATTTAGAATGTTTTAGGTTTTATACCCTTTTAGTCCCATTTGTGTTTTATCTTTTTGTTTGTGAGGTCACATTCAACATTTTGGTCCCCATTTGATTTTTTAAAGTTGATAATAGGATTCACAATGATCATTAATTAATGTGTCATAAATATTGTTATAAGAATCAAACCAGACCAGCTCGATTGAAAACCGATCACCTGACCGGTCTGGTCTGCTCCAAAAAAATACAAGCCAAAGAATCGACCAAGAATTGGTGGTATGCTAATATATATTAACTATTTTAATCCGAATAAAAGAATAAATAGGAAGCCATTTTACATGTTTACCAAACATTTTAAATACTTTTGTAAAAATGCAGACATATAAAAACAAAATAATATATAAATCATTCATAAACGAGTCATAAATCAAAAAATAATATAATTTATAAATAAATGATAAAAAAAACTACAAACTAATCATTATAAACTATAAAAGTTAGTATATTGCAATTTGGAGAAAAGAATCATAAATATAAATAAAAGGAGATTGTAGGTGAATTTATGTGATTTTCTCTTAATGTGATGGTGATGTACTAGGGAGGCCCAGCACAAACTATATCTACCTAACCTGGTGGGCCCCCAAGATGTTTTTTTACAAAAATTCGATGCTGTCTGTATATGCACTGCCCACTTTTTACAATAGCCAATAAAACAAAACCATGTGGCAATTTTCTTGTTAACTCCACACATTATTTTGCAATCGGCAAAATCAACATAAAAAGCTCAATTAGAAATACTATAAAATTTTGCAAAAGGAAAATAATTATTAAAGAAAGTAATTTAATAAAAGTCTTAGGAAAATTATGAATGAACCATAGAGCATGTTTGTTTATGGGAATTAATTCAGTTATTAGAAAAATGTAATATTGAAGAAACTAGAATGACAAAAATAGTTAATGAGGATAAACAAGGAATAATCTATGAAATAGATAGTGAAGATGAAGATGAACCCACATTTAATATCACTTATCAAAAACCTCGTACAACACCACCAGTATCACCAAAACAACCTAGAACAAATAATAATGAAGCATCTAGTTCACAAAATAATTATGTAAAAAGTTTTAGAGATTTTATATATAGAAATGATTATAGTTATCATCAAGAATAAATAAATAAAAATATACCACCAGCATATTTAGAAAAAGAAAAAAAAATTATCTAATGGAATATTAAATATAGATTGTACAATCAATGTAGAAGATTTAATAGCCACTTGGACAAACCAATTAAAATTATTAGTTAAAACTAATGATTCAATGATAAATGGAATGAATTATTGAAGATCGTCAAAAGATGAATAATTTAATAATTTATAACTGAAAGGAGGAATAGAGGTTAAAAAATTTATTACTTTTATAATATTATAAAAATATGTAATTTAATAAATGAGAACAAATAGTATCAATTTTCTATGAGAAGATTTGATTGGAGAAAGAGATAAATGGAACAAAAATCAATACACCCTTACCAAAATTTCAATAAATTATTTATTTCAAATACCAAATATATTTCCAAACAATAATTTATATACAAACTATCATGTCTGTATCTGAAGGGTGCGGTTTGAATTTATAAATTATGGGATATATTCAACAAATTTTGAATATTTTCATAATAAATATTGGAATTTAAAAATAATAAATAAAAAAAATTGAAAATGTATATTATAATTTAAAAGTATAATTAAAAATATTATAATTTTATTAAAAATTACAACAATTAGAATGATGAACAAATCAACAGAAAATGTACAAATATTTTCACTTTACAATAAGACCGACATTATTCATTTTTTCTTAGCTGTCAACAACCCAATAATATAGTCAAAAACAAAGGATAACAAGTCTTTTGGATGTGTTACTAATCTTATCCATTATATAACCTAAAAAAAAAAAAGAACTTTTTTTGTTTGAGAATTTGTTGGACCAGTTGTGAATCATTATCACAAACTCTCAATAAATGTATTTATTTATCTCTCCATTTTTTTAATGCCCTTTTAAATAGTAGCAATACAAATAGAATTTGATAAGTTATTGTGTGTATTGTTTAAAACCATAAGTTATTAAGTAATGGCATATTACATTTTATAAATTTTATTATTAGTAAAATAAGTGATTTAAATATAAATTATTTAACTTACACATAAATTATATTGATTTCAATTTGCAATTTTAGTGATTTGATCAACTAATTAGATGACATTTAATAAATTACTATTATACAAATTGTGAGCGAAATTATAAGTGGTTTGATTATTCCATAAAAAATAATTAGATAAATAATTTTAAATTATATCATAAATAATTCAATTATTTATGCAAATTGTTTTGTTTAAAAAAATGAATCATAAAAATTACTCATCCTATATATTGAAATACTTAAAATAATATAGACTAATTTATCTTATTTTTGTAAGTCGTCCTTATCACAAATTTCAATTTTTTTTAAAATGATTTATAGTCGAATTTATCATCCCAATAAAATAATATTCAACTATAATCTAAATTAGTACAATACCCGTGTACAACACGGGTAATTGTTAATTATATTTAAAATTAAACATGTGGACTCAAATTTGAAGGGAATTTTAATATTTTTCAATTAAATTGATTAGTATTTTGATTTTGATTATACAGATAAATGTAATTGTATTTTTTTTCATGTAGAATATGAATGTAAAAACAAACCGGATTAAGAAATATCTAATTTCATATAAGTCATATGAAAAATTAAGAATAAATAAGTCATATTAAATTTTAAAAAGTGAGAGATTCCATTTTATTCGTAACATTTAATTTGGAAAAGTGAGAGATTCTAAAAATAAATTTTAAGGTTATATTAGTCCTATAAACATTAGTAAGTAAGATTACGAAACAAATTAAGAGTTATATTAGCCAAAATATTATGAAATTATCTAAATTAACTTTTTAATATTTATAAAATCTTCGAATATAAAATTATTGATTTAGAATAACATTATTTTTTATTTAAACCAAATTACGCCAACCACTTTAATGGAAATATATTTTTTTTAGAAAAAAAAAATGAAAATCAATCGTGCAGATCCACCTATCACTCCACGTGTCCTTTCATCTGTATTTCATTTTTTGCATTTTTTCAATAAAAATATTTTGATTCTCATAAAGCTGTATGTATATATAGTCTGTCCATCTCCTTCTCTCTCACACACACAACACACAGTCCCACCATTTTTGCTCGCTGCCATTTTCTCTCTTTTCCTCTGTTGGCAAGCCTCAAAAAGCAAGAGATTTTTTTCTACGAAGTTGCTTCAAACTTCGAGGAGATTCTGTTCGTCGTTGTGGTATCCTCGATTTATTCTCTACACTTGGAGTTTAAATTCGAAAAAATGAAATCAAATCAGTTGTTTTTTTTTTTTCTTGCGTTTCTCAATTCTGCGTGTTTTTAATTGAACAGGGTGAGGAAAAAGCAACAATCTTTCGCTGCAGTTCGATTTCCTATGAAATTCTGAGCTGGTTTGGTTTGGATTCGTTGAGGAATAGTACTTTTTCGGGGAAGAAAAGGCAAATTTTATTGAACTTTTGTCTTTCGTTTGGAGCTTCAAAGCTGCGGTCTCTTGCGGAGTTTGGATTTCATGTGTTCTTCTCCACCTCCGCAGGTATGGGGCGCTGCCTTTTGCAATAGTAGTTACTCCTTTTTTTTTCTTTTTTTTTTTTTTTTTTTCAGTATGTATATGTGCGTGTTTTGATTTCATTTATGCAATAATGCTGTTGTAATCCTGTATTTTGGATTTAAATTACGTAAAATTTGCATGGAACCTCGTCATTTTGGGTCTTGTTGTGGTTTTTTTGTCCATGTATTGTTTACCATTTGTTGATTTATTAAAAAAAATGTGTTGGACATTGCAGAGTTGATGTATCTGTAAAGCAAAAGGAAATGATTACATGAATATATTGAGATATGCAAATGTCAATGTCATTTCTCTTGGATTTGCTGGATGCATACTCGTGAATAAAGAAGATTTTAGATATCGAATGGAACCGTGCTTATTAAATGCATGTATTAGTTGACATGGTGTTGCTGAATCCACCAGGAAATGTTTGTGGCACGTGCACAAATCACTTATTTGTCTATATTTTTATTTGTGTGTTGTTGTGATAATAGCTCAAGTTTGAAATTATAGGTTGTGTTTGGATAAAGCTTTTATGGAGCAATTTTGATATTTTTTGGTAAGTATTAATGCAGTTGCATTATGGCTATTTGTTGTCTTAAGTATAACTACGAACGTACGAGAAATGAAAACGTGTCGTGCCTTGTCTGTTTGGAAATGCGTACAAATAAAAGTTGAAAGCTTCTGCTAATTGATAGAGTGCCAAATTAAAACTGGTATACTTCGGTCCTTATTGATGATAATCTGTCAAATTATAGCTGATTATATATTATTTCTTAAATCTTGGGTCCAGAATACTGAAATATCCTATAGACCTGCAGAGCTTCTCGAGTTTGTGTGGTAAATTTGAAAATTGAAGGAAATGGTATTTGGCTTCGGAAATATGATGGAGACCATGAATAACCTGTCAACCTCTGACCATGCTTCGGTGGTCTCGATTACTGTATTTGTCACACTCCTTTGCGCATGTATTGTGATTGGTCATCTATTGGAGGAAAATCGTTGGATAAACGAATCAATTACCGCCCTTATTATTGTAAGTACGCTACATATTATGGTAAATGTTTTTGCTGGTTGGTACCTTTGGTTGATACATTATATTCGTTGTGGGTAATTTAAACACGTCTCTTTCCTGCTATTTATGCAGGGTTTATGCACTGGAGTTTTAATTCTACTTACAAGCGGAGGGAAGAGCTCACATCTTTTGGTTTTCAGTGAGGATCTTTTCTTCATTTATCTGCTTCCTCCCATCATTTTCAATGCTGGGTAAATCCAATGTCCTCTACCAGATGTTATAATCTTTGAGATGCAAGGGTGCTTTTCATCTTGAATTTCTCTCATTTCTTCGCCTTACGTACTTTTGGCTCAGGTGTCAAATACTTGTGAGCATTACCATGGTCTTGAAAGCACATCAACTAGGATAATAACAAGTCCATGAATTTTTGCATAAATGATGAGTAGTATACAAAGACTGTGATCGTTTTTAGTTTGGGATTTGAGGCACGTAGAGGATTTATTCTCTCAACACTAGTGTGTATTTATTGCATAGAGTAAACTAACTATATGCTAACAAAACTCGGCCGCAGATAGAACACTGCAAATTAGGGGCACCACGGAGTGCAACTCATAATTAGCTACTGCGAACATGAACAAGGATTCGGAGAACACTATTAAATTGGTGAAACCAAAATGGTGGTTGGATTCTTTTACGCAAACCTTTTAATGAATTAGTTAATGATTCTCAGTTTTATAATTGATCGTATCTATGCATTTCTTGAATCATATTTAACTTGAAAAACTTAAATTAAGTCTCTGTGATTGTCTATATTGAGTGGTGGCTGCAAGATACAACCCAATATATACTAAAGTGTGTCTGCATTTTTAAGTGCTTTGTGCTTATGGCTGATTTGCCACCCTCGCTTTTGTTCATTGCACAACTTTGACTAACTCCAAGGTAGGTCAAAAGAAAACTCGATGGTGTTTAATGACAAGCAAGTTTATAGTTTTGTCTTTAGTGAAGCAGTCAGCTGAATATATCCCATATTATCTGTATTTGGTTTGAGTAGGAATGAAACCTAAATTTGTTTACCATCAATGACGAGCCCGGAAGCTCCAAAAATTCCTTTTATGAAATTGGGGTTTCGCTTTTATTTATCAGTGTCGAATGTGTTTTATTCTGTTCCATTGATATGTAATTGTGCGTGATTGTTTGCTATATTGTAATTTTGAGTTCCATTCACGTGGTTCCATTTAACAATCAGGTTCCAGGTAAAGAAGAAACAATTCTTTCGCAATTTCTCGACTATTATGCTGTTTGGAGCAGTTGGTACATTGATATCCTTCATCATCATATCACTGGGTATGGCCATTTACCTTATTTGGTTCATTGTGTCCAGGGGTATAAGTAGCTTCGAAGAAGAAACTTATTGCTTGCTGTTTGTGTCGTATTTTCCACCTGCTCTTTCAATCTTTATAGCTTGAACTGAATTGTTTCAATATGGAAGAGACCACTCGTCTTGACTCAAGTTCATGCATGCTATTCCATAAGACATTGAGAGCCTTTAGTGTAATATGAACACATTATCTCAATTATCACCTATAATGGGTGAGAGCTTATTGTCAGCCTTTCTCCTTAAACACGAACAATTCTTGATTTTGAAAGGTGATCTGATTGAATATATGTTGTTTAAGTTACTCTTGATCTCCAATTCCCATGTACCATGAGATTTGTAATGTCTCCGAAATTGTGCGCCATAATCTAATAACAATGTTATTGAGTGATTGCCTTACTGATTGGTTCATGGCATGTTTTACTATATTTACTTGCTTTGAGAGGCCATAGTATTATGACTTGCTATGAAACTCTTGAAATGATGAGAGATTAAGAAGTTAAAAGAAGCAGACCAAGAAGAATTACATTGTGCGCAAATATGGCATTATTGTTACAACTGTTACATGCTCTTATTTTTAGTGTTTTTAATTCTATGCGACTTTTTTTTTCACTTCATTAATTTATTAATCTCATTTCTTCTCATTTTGTGGTAGGTGCAATCGCCTTCTTCCAGAAAATGGAGTTTGGTCTCTCAATCGGGGATTTTCTCGGTGACTCTCTCTCTCTCTCTCTCTCTCAAACTCTCTCTCTCTCTCTCTCACACACACACACGCATACATGCTTGACATGCATGCAAATGTATTAGGCCTTCACATATTTCCGCAATTATATCTGTTTCTTATTATAAGCCATTTTCCAGCAATTGGAGCTATTTTTGCTGCAACAGATTCGGTCTGCACACTGCAGGTGAGCTTTTGCAGATAATTTAGTGTTGAAATCTTCATTGAGTAGGAAACTTATTGGGGCTGACAAAAAATATTCACAATGTTTCAGGTTCTAAGTCAAGACGAAACACCATTACTGTACAGTCTGGTATTTGGAGAAGGCGTTGTAAATGATGCAACATCAGTGGTACTATTCAATGCAGTCCAGAGTTTTGACCTCACGCACATCAACACCACTGTGGCTTTGCAGCTGATTGGAAATTTCGGCTACTTATTTCTCTCTAGTACTGTGTTGGGAGTCGTAGTAAGTCTTCTTCCTCTTTTT